AGCTGTCCTAACATTTAAAAAAAATTTTTCAATAATGAATGGCAGAGGTATATTTAGGAAGGATTTCACATAATCTACAACATGTTGTCAATGTGTAGTTGCAATCAGAAGAATTTTAATAAAGATTCGCAAAATTATGCTGAAGATGTGTTCATCTTTACAGTTAATAATTGACAATAAATTTTATAGCACCATTGCTAAAACTTAATTATATTTTATTTGAGATTTAAATAATAGAACTAAATGTTTACCGTCGTTATTGAGATATTTATAAAATTCCTGGCATGACATTAACCATTAGCTCGGCCTTTAATGTTGTTAAAGCAATCCGATTTCTCTCCTTTATTCAGGCAGTCTTCATCAGGCTAAAAATGCGTTCGGATGAGGCATTTGAATGAGATAAGGAGAAGACATACTCGCATATTTTTCCCAAGCATGGGGATTTATCGTTATTACGAAAAAATTCTACCCATTTCTCCTCTGTTTTTAGACCATCTAAATTTAAGTATTTTGGCGAATCATAAATAATAGAGAGAATTACAATCTCCTCAAACAAGACATATATATCTTTCGGTATTTTTAATATATTTATTAAATTATAAAAACCATCAATTGATGGTTTCTATTCCAAGGTCATAATATTTATACATTTGTAAATAGAGTTATTAAAATCAAATTTTGATTGTAAATAGAGTTATTAAAATCAAATTTTGATTGTAAATATTCTAAAATTGTCTTAATAAAAATATCTGCTAAAAATGTATTAATTATAGTATTATTTGAACATTTTAATATAATATTTTTAGCAATAGCGCCATAAAATTTATTATCAATTTTTAACTGTAGAGATAAACAGAACTGTAGCATGATTTTGTGAATTTTTTTTAATAAAGAATATTCTGATTGCAACTGAATATTAACTGCATGAAGTAGATTTTCTACATGTGAAACGAATCCCAAATATGCTTCTGCCATTTCATACTTGAAGAAATTTTTCAAAATATTAGGACAGCTTTTAAAATCTCTATTTAAGAAGTTTTTTTAAGTTTGTAAAATTTTAAAATTATATCAATGGCAGGTATTAATGACAACCACCTGATAGGTATATATCGCAACAACTCATACCATTCCAGGTCAGACAATTTACCAACTCTTTTAATTCATTAACTCTTTTAGTTGATGAACTATATTCGTTAAAACAATCACAATTATTTCGACATCCACAGATAGTACATTCATTACCTTCTTGGAAGAATTATGTAGTATACACAACCAATTGGTATTAATTCATTATTATGCTGCCTGAATTCGGTAACTTTGGTTTTTGCTAAAATTTACAGAGGCATTTTCAGCGCAGAAAGCTGACATGCAAATCATTGATAACTCTGAATCAGCTATATTTACCATAATGTGGCTAGCAACATTGTTGGATTTTTCACTATCCGAGGAAAAAATTTAACAGTTTTATTGAAATGTTCTTATTCTTGTTGAAATAGCGAAGGGGGAAATGTTTTAATATTTCCCTAATTAGATGCATCTGTTAGAATTGCATATGGATGCCCATCTTTCAAATCGTCTAGAATTGACCTTTAGGATTCAGGTACTAAAACACTTGTGATAGCCTTGCTCATTTTTGTTCTGTCACAAGTAAGGTTTGCACTTTTATTGGCGTCGTTAAATATCATGAGAAAAAGATTCAACCCACATTGTGATGATATAGCTCTGTGAATGTTGAACTACATGATAGATGTATACGATTTCCGCAAATGTAGTTGCATCTGTATTATTTATTATTTTTGAGAATATTTTTATATTGCAATCGATGTAGATATACTCCCCTGTACTGACTTATATGAATGAAAGATTTATTATTGGATCAAAATAAAACAGGGTAGAAAGAAATTTACAAACTAGACATGTTTTTCGAATAAATATTTATAATTTATTTTAAAAATATAAAAATAATCAATTAATGTCTCTCAAAATTATTATATAAATTAAAAACGTTAAAATACTAAAATAAAAAAACATGCGGGAGAAATTAAAAAATAGCGGTAGATTTTTGATGGAGATTTCCAATTGCGGTAGTTTTGCGGGAGAGAGATGTCTGCGTGTAAACTAAAAAATTGCTGGAGTCTCCCGCTGATGGGGGGAGACATAGCAACCCTGCTACTGACTGTAGATACTTATATAGTGGATCTATTGTTATTAATATCTCATAAATTATAATGGCTAATATAAAGTAATTAATGTTAAGGTTGGCTGGGAGTTAGACAAAGATTAAGAAAGTAATTTTAAAATTTTTATTTATTAAATTTATTTAAAAAAATTTATTAAATTTATTTAAAAAATATTTAACAAAAAATATAATATAATTTTTCTTTTTATATTATAATATCAATTTATATTAAAAAAATCTATTAAATAATTTATATCTAACTATTGAGTTAATAATATAAAATGAGTCCGTGAGGTTAGTATTAAAGAACAAATAAAATCAATCTTTAAGGTTAATATTTAGTTAATAGATAGCTAAAAATAAATATTAAAAAAATCAATCAGGATATCTCAACAATTTATATTAACGTATTGAGATAAATAACCAGAGGCTTCGACAGAATAATGAGTGGAAACCTCTGAATTAAGAGGGAGATGATAGACTTACGCCAAATGGCGTATTAGCAAGAAATAAAAGTTATATTTTTTCTTATTTATACGCATTTTCCGAATCGATAAAAAAGTTACGAAAATTTAACGAATCATTTAAAATTTGTATTTATAATAAAATGAATGTATAAATAATATCGTGGACTAAATTTAGTAAACTATAAAGCAATATAAAAATTTAAAATACATAAATCTTTATATATCAGATTTTAGGATGTCACCAAAAAGTACTACCATAGTAATACCTTACTTATTTTCCAATATTTAGTAAACTATAAAGCAATATAAAAATTTAAAATACATAAATCTTTATATATCAGATTTTAGAATGTCACCAAAAAGTACTACCATAGTAATACCTTAAATATGAAAGAAGGAAATATATTTTTATCCTATAAAGATTTACAAGATGCTATAAAGCAATATGAAAATTTAAATTACATAAATCTTTATATATCAGATTCAAAAATTTTAAAATCACCTCTTTTTGAAAAATTTAGATATAAAAGCATAAAATTTCTTTGTATATTTGGTGGAAAGTACAATACAAAATCCACAGGTCTACGCAATTACATGTCTATAAAACAAGGATGTCAATTCCATTTGCAAATTAAATTCATGAAAACAAATTATTTGTCAAGGATATGCATGAAAATCACAATCATCCCCATGGTAAAGGCACATAATCTTGAAATTATTAAGATAAATATATAATTTAACTTAGTGATATGGCTACTGGATAGGCTTATAGGGTTAATTTATTAAATTTTGATTGATTATATATAAGATAAAAGTATGAAATAATGTTTTTAAAACAAATGAAAAATGCATTTTTTGATTAATTTTAGATGAAAATTTATACCAATCATTACCCAGACAAAGAAAGCTTAATGAAGCACAGTATAAATTTGTAGTTGAAGCTATAACTACAGGAGGAAATAAATCCAAAATAAAAAATAAACTATTTTCTGAAGGAAAGTTTATAACCCTAAGAGATTTGCATACTTATGATAATGATTTAATTACAATGATAGATAAAGTTAAAGAAGATAATGATGCTAATATGGAATTATATATTGTAGATGGGAATCTAATTGGTATATATTATCAAACTCATCAAATGCAGTATATTTTTTCAAAATATCCTCAAGTAATATGTGTGGATGCAACATATCGATTAAATAATAGGCATATGCCTGTGTATATTTTGGTAACAATTGATGGAAATAATAGATCACATATTATATGTGTATGGATTGTCAAATCGAAGTCATTTGATGTAGCATCACAAATGCTTCAAATTTTAAAAAAACTGAATTCAGCTTGGACAGATATAAAGGTCATTGTTAGTGATAAAGATTGTGCTGGGAGAAAAGCTTACATTGGGGCATTCCCTCATGTTCAATTGGAATTATGTAGGAAACATGTAACCAGAGCTTGGGATAGGGAAGTTACCCACAAAAAAACGAATATTCCTAATGATATGATTAATAATGTGAAGCATCTGTTGTATAGCATGCTAGATGCACAGTCTTCTGACATATATTTTGAAAATTATCACAAATTAACTAATTTAAATTTAGAATCATTAAATAACTATTTTTCTGGCTGGCATCTTATCAGATATGAATCTTCCGATGCTTGGAAAAGATATCATTTAAACTTTAAACAATATACAAATAACAGGGTAGAGAGCATTAACAAATATTTAAAAATTAACATAACCAAATACTCTACCCTTCCAAATATGTTTACTGATTTAATTATGTCAATTAAAATGTTAAGTGCTGAAACATGATAATTTAATGAAAAAAATTAAAATCTCATTTATAAATGAGGATGATCAAACATTGGCTAATTATAGAAAATTGTTAACAGAATAAAGAGTTAAAATATGAATATAATGTTGGTGATAACTGCAATCTTGTTTGCCAATCAAATATGTTTTATTGTGATTGCCCCTTTTTTTTAAATATGCAATTAATGCAGACATGTATTTATGGAAAGGAAAAAAAAATAATAGTGATCTATACGATGAAAATTATGTCATCAAAGGTGGCACAAAAATTATTTTAAAAATCCATCGACATTTATCAATAATAATAATATAGATATATTAAATAACAAAAAGGGGATTAAATACAAAAAAACCCTTTTTAATGACCAAATTTCATCCTATAATTATTTTAAAAATCAAAATATGCTTTTTCACACCATATCATTATTACCACCTAATTTGAAACATGGGTTTGCTCAGGCTTTTGACAAACTACATGATTTTGCTATGAAAGGCATATTACTAATTATTTCCTCAAATAATTTCGATACAAGCTCAAATGAAAATAATGGTCAGATATTCTCCAATGATAGTATAGCAAATGTATTAAATGAGGATCTTACACACTCAAACGTGGATCCTAATATACAGTAAAATAAAAATAATGTCCCAATTTTTTTAAAAAAGATGTTTATAATAGTCAAGAAAATGAATGTATAAATAATATCATAAAAGAAATTCAATTACCTAAGAAATTAAATAAAAGCGGGAGACCATTAGGATTTACAATATTGGATTCACAAAAAAGTACATTGACTTTATTTATTGTTAATAGTATATTATATAGAAAAGGCATACAAATCCAAAGAAAATCATATAGATAAAAAGTTAAAATTTCAACAAGACCTTAATTCCCAAAACTTTGTTGACCCAAAAATAGTTGATACCAAAGGGAAATTGTTGATAAAGACAAATTTTTAAACTTTTTTAGATTATAAAAAATCTTCTTTACACCTTTTGAAGGATCTTCAAGTGGACTTAGTAGGCTTTGTATACTCAGACTCAAAGTTCAAAAATTGTAATTTTATAATTATATACAGTTAATTGTAATTCTTAAATATCATGATTAATTTTATTTTTTTAAATATTTAAAGCCATAGATGACCCACTCGTTAAAATCATTCAACATACATTTAAACATTTTTATAATCCAACTACCAATATTTGGAGGAAATATCATGATACTCGCTTAAATTTAGCGTCAGCAAAAAAGAAAGTCTCTCAAAATATAGGAAGGGTGCTAACTGCTCCATCACGATTGCAATTGAGCTAGATGGGAATTGTTTTTACCGGTAATTTAAAAATTTAAAAATAATTTTGGTTATATATTTTTTACTAATATACATAGAATATGGTTTTGTTTCTTTCTTTACCTTAAATTTTAATGATTATATCCTATATTAATTCATAATATTATTTTTTTAAAACATTGATAGGTTTTTAGAAAAAGTAACATAATTAAATTTTTTAAAAAATAATTAGATGTATAAGTATGGAGATAACAGGAAAACAAGACTCCTATGGTTTGATTAGATCACAGATGTTGCTGATGTTGCAAAAAATAATGATAAAAAATATATTAGATTATACTCAAGGTCAAAATACGTGTGAAGATGATGTGCAACAGTATATAATAGAAAAGGCAAGTAAGAATGGTGAATGGGCAACGAATATTGAATTGCGAAGTGTTGCCACACTTCTCAATACCCCGATATTGGTGTATGCTAGGTATGGAGCTTCATTTTGCTGGCAAATGTATCCACCATTTAAATATGATGATGGAAATATAAAAAAATTTGACCAAAACATTTATATTAACAATTCTGAATCCCATTTTGTAAATGTTATTGATTTAGAAGATTAATTACAAATGTTGATATTTTATATTTTTTTCCAAAAGTATTTTAGTTGATTGTATTTGTCTTGTTTATATGCATATTTTTTTTTTATTTATCCTATTTTAACATATTATAAATAGATATATAGACTACAAAGATATCTTTTTTACTCATACCATTTTTATATACATTTCATTACAACACCAACACCATGTAATCATCCCAATTATTATTTTAATTTGATTAATTTGTATTGCTAATACAATTTTTAAATTCTAAAAATAAATTTGGAGATTTTTTTAAAATCTGAATTAATCCTCTTTTTTTTAAATCATCAACTCAAAAATGACTATATAAAAAATTTAGTATATAACATGAATATCATTTTTTTAAATAAAAAAAATTGCCACCAAATAAGTTTTAATAAAGTGTTAACACGGGGGGGGGGGGGGGGGGGGGGGGGGTATATTATTTTTATTTTTTTTATGGTTTTTTTTTAAATTTTTTATTTTTGCCTATAAATTTTTTATGGTAAAATATAGGAATTATTAATTGCGCATATTTAAGTTATATTTAGGAGAATTTTGCATACAAATTTAATTTTTTTGTGGTAAAATATAGGAATTATTAATTCCGCATATTTTAGGTGAATTTTGCCTTACAAATTTAATTTTTTTTGTGGTAAAATATTTAAGTTATTTTTAGGAGATTTTGCATGCAAATTTAATTTTTTTGTGGTAAAATATTTAAGTTATTTTTAGGAGAATTTTGCCTACAAATTTAATTTTTTATTTAAATCTAATTTTTATTAATTTTGCATTAGGGATAAAATAGACCCCACCTTTGAAGTTTAAGTGATTTTTAACATTTCTAGTGAAGGGTTAAATCGAAATATAGTATTAAATGAAGCAATTAAATATAGTATTATAATTTATACACGAAATATAGTATTAAGTAAATTTTATTCATTAAATTGAAATATATTATTGAAGTTAATACAATCATTTATAAAATGATTAAAAATGTCCAATCATAAATTTTTATAATTAAATTAATTTAGGTAAATTAATTAAGAACATTATGGGAGCTCATTAAGAGAAATTTATTTTTTAAACTCTATTTAAAAAAATAATATCAAAAGATATAATTTATAAATTTCAACAAATTCAATAAAAAAATTTATATAAAAAATGAGTAATTGTTTGTAAATTTGAAGCTTGCTTGGGATTGTTGTGTGTCAATTTTATAGAATAAGTCATCACAAGGTAAGATCTTTAATGTTTCTAAGTAACCTTTAAAATAAAACATACATTATAATTTATAAATTTCAACATAAATTCAATAAAAAAAATTATATAAAAAATGAGCAATTGTTTGTAGATTTGAAGCTTGTTAGGGATTGTTGTGTGTCAATTTTATAGAATAAGTCATCACAAGGTAAGAACTTTAATGTTCCCAGGTAACCTTTAAAATAAGACATACAATATAATTTATAAATTTCAACATAAATTCAATAAAAAAATTTATATAAAAAATGAGTAATTGTTTGTAAATTTGAAGCACAAGGTAAGATTTATTCTTTACTCAATCATTCTAAATTTCCTAATTTATAGCCATCTTAAGATTTATGTAATTTAAATTTTTATATTGCTTTATAGTTTACTAAATATTGGGAAATAAGTAAGGTATTACTATGGTAGTACTTTTTGGTGACATTCTAAAATCTGATATATAAAGATTTATGTATTTTAAAAAGGTATTACTATGGTAGTACTTTTTGGTGACATTCTAAAATCTGATATATAAAGATTTATGTATTTTAAATTTTTATATTGCTTTATAGTTTACTAAATATTGGGAAATAAGTAATGTATTACTATGGTAGTACTTTTTGGTGACATTCTAAAATCTGATATATAAAGATTTATGCATTTTAAAAAGGTATTACTATGATAGTACTTTTTGGTGACATTTTAAAATCTGATATATAAAGATTTATGTATTTTAAAAAGGTATTACTATGGTAGTACTTTTTGGTGTCATTCTAAAATCTGATATATAAAGATTTATGTATTTTAAAAAGGTATTACTATGGTAGTACTTTTTGGTGACATTCTAAAATCTGATATATAAAGATTTATGTATTTTAAATTTTTATATTGCTTTATAGTTTACTAAATATTGGGAAATAAGTAAGGTAAAATCTGATATATAAAGATTTATGTATTTTAAATTTTTATATTGCTTTATAGTTTACTAAATTTCGTCCACGATATTATTTATACATCCATTTTATTATAAATACAAATTTTAAATGATTCGTTAAATTTTCGTTACTTTTTTATCGATTCGGAAAATGCGTATAAATAAGAAAAAATATAACTTTTATTTCTTGCTAATACGCCATTTGGCGTAAGTCTATCATCTCCCGAATTAGGGAAGAGTTAAAAGTAAACTAATACTTCACCAATAGCCTCAAAATTAACATAAATAATGCGAGATGTTTCTAAGTGACCAGTCCAACTCTGGTCTAAAAAGAGTATGGCCTGCATATTTGCAGGATACGTTAAACCGTCTAAAAAATTATGCAATGCATTGAATAAATTTAAAAAAATTAGAAATGATAACAATATTATTATACCAATTTTGAACCACAAGATGCAACATGTGGTTGTAGCAATGTATAAAAGAAACTTTTTTATTAATTCTTTTTTGAAGTAGGGTTTGCACTGCTCCATTTTGGCCAGACATAACGTTTGCACAATCATATGCCTGGTTTATCATATTCGTTGAATTAATATTTGACTCATTAAGTTGCTTTAAAATGCAATTAGTTATGCTTTCAGCAGAAAGACACTCTAAATTAATAATCCCTATTAAATTTTCTTGGACTTCTCCAGAAAAAATATAAAGAATTATGCTCAGGTTTTTACAACCTGATGCATCTTTTGTCACATCAGCCTTAAGACAAAAAATAAGGCATCTCACTTTTGTTATATTTATCTGAAATATAATCAAGCACCATATCTACCATAATAGATATTATTTCGTTTTGAATCTGGGTAATGAATATGGCATATTTACGTATATAAATTTCGCAATTTTATTTAATACAGGATCTTTTTGGATGGTGTATGAAAACATTACTATAAATAGTCCAGAAAGAATAAATTATGTTTTCTACATTTGCAGCATCCATAATTTTTGTTGAACCAATGCCACGGAAAGGTAGCTCCTGTATGTTAAGAAAATCATGAAATCTTGATCTAAAATCGTAAAAATTATGTTAATTTGTTGGCTTACCAAAATTGTTGTTATCTCTGTATTTTCTTTATAATGCTAATATATTCACCGCTGTTTTAAATAATTGGTTATATCGGGCTTAGATAATATTATTTTGTCTAAGATCTTAATCGGACCATTTTTAAAAATCGGCCCAAATCGAAATATTTAGCAACACTGCACAATATAATTACCAAATTTTATAAAAATTTAATAAGAACCGTTTTTATTTTAATAAATATTTACGGATCAGTATCAATCTGTTTCTTTAGATTTTGATTGTAAATAATTATCAATTTAAGTGGGGGGTCGAGGTCTTGGAGGGTCAGGAAAAATTAATATATATATATCAATCGGTTTTTTATGATTTGCACCCAGATCTATATCAGAGACCTTCAAAAGATAATAATATTGAGATTGAACCATAATATAAAATAATTATCATTGAAATAACAATTTATACATTATAATTAAGCGCCTATATAATGATATACACAAACACACAGGAAAAGGATAAAATACGAATGAATGATGATTTATTATTGGAAAAAAATTAAACAGGATAGGAAGAAATTTACAAACAATACATGTTTTTTGAATAAATATATAAAATTTATTTTAAAAATATAAAAATAATCAATTACAAAAATTTTTTTAAATTTGGGGGCATGGAAAAATATATTTAGGCCATTTTTTGGTGCCAAAGATTTTTTCTGGGGGCCAAAATTTTTTTTAGGGAAGCCTGCCCTCCTCCCCCCCCCCCCC